CAGCGAAAAACATTATTTTGTTGAGAAATTAAGAAATCCATAAAGGCAAATCTTATGCTTGGTTATTGGTAAATTGATAGATTTATATGCAAAGTGAGAATTATTTAAGTAAATTGTATTAAATGTAAGTTACATAAAAATGTATTAGTCTTAAATTATGCGAACGTTTTTACAGTTTGTTATGTTCTCTGGTCATGTTTTACATAAATGCATAAAATTCGCAATTAGACTGCACATTTCATATATTTATAACAAAATAAGAAACAGTACAAAATTTCAAAAAATTCGAAAATACTCCTACATTATTTTTTATAATTTGACGAAAGAAATACAATTTTTACTTGTATTTGTTACAATTAAAGTACAAAATGTTCGCGTAAAAGCCGCAGTCTAATTTTAATAATATTAAACCTAGCAGACCTGACCTTCTATCGATTACACATAACTCGACTTTGTCTGGAAAGGGTTAAAGCCCTCTGATTCTAGTAGTCTCGAGCTGAAAGTTTCCTGATTCGTGACGAAAAGTGTTTAAATATGGAAATGAATAAGTGTTTCGCACTTTGGTCAACTGTGGTCTCATATCTTCGAAGTTTTTGACGAATATACGACGATCTTCGTAAACCGTTCATTTTCGTGAGGGCGATAATAATGTCGCAACCGACCGTTTATTAACGCCAGATTGCACCCGATTGCGGACCACGGTTTTATCAGCGAGAAACCATCAAAAGCATTATCGTCTCCTTCCTGCAAATACGGCTAAAGAGCAACGTAGAATTGCTTTGCTAATCGATTCAAAATAGTATAAGCGAAGCAAAACTGACGTAATCTTATGCCCGCGATTGCGAATGAGATGACATCAATTGTTGCACCTTGTTGCATTGAGTTTATGCATATTCCATGCGTATGTTGCAACAGATACGTGGTCACAACAATTACTGCGATCGCAGTGCTAATAACAACGATAATTTGACTTTTTATCACGGCGAGACAGTATTCATTCCTCGTCCATTAGTTTCTATTGTCTTTGCGCGTTCCAAAGATAATGTGCATCGGTGATTCCGTTAGTTAGGGAGAGTAATTCGAATTTTTTACGAGACGTTGGATCGATTAGTCTAGCGGACAACGACTAAAAATATGTTTGCGAAATTGCAAACGTGCTCTTTAAACGTTCATATCTGAAGCTATAACGAAAATTTAAACAATGCGTTCGTAGAACTGGATAGCTTATAAATTAGGCTGAAAATTTCATCAAAATCGGTTACCGTTGTTACGAGCTAAATTAAATATTTATAAATGTATAAATAATTTGTGTATTAATAAATAAATATATGTGTTATATTGTATGGGCATTGAGAGATCTAGAAATCCCCAGATTTCTTGTAATTATTTAATTGTTTATAGCTCTTACAACGTTAACCGATTTCGATGAAATTTTCAGCATGCACGTAAGTTATCGAGATCTTCAAAACGCACTGTTTAAACTTTCATTGCAGACACAGAGAAAAAGATAGAGGAGACACCTTTTGTTTATCTTATTTGTCATTTTCAGCGAATGGAATTTTTGCAATAATTTCTTTGCTCATTGTCCAGTAAACTAGTCAGTGTATCATTGAAAAAGAATTGAGAACACTTGATCCAGTGTCGAAAAAGTTATTCCATTTTGAAAGGTGTCCGAACATGAACGTCGCTCACTGTGTGCGCGACAGAAATCGTTCGAGAAGCGGTACAAGTCTCGGCTTTTCGTAAGAAGAAGGATTAGCACGGCGTGTCTGGCCGACACACGTATTGCGATTGATTGCTGGTATCGTGTTCTCGATGTAAATGTTGGCCAATGTGGATCGAACATGCCGTTACGCTTTTTCCGTCGGCGATTGCACGGCTTTATGCAACTTTCCACTCGGACGTGGTTCGCGGACTGGTCCTAGGCCTCGGCCGAGAGGAAAATTCGTAGTATTCCATGTCGGTGACCGTGAAACAATAGCTTCAATCGCTAAATCTGTCGACGCGAATCCCGATTCTACCCAATTATCGTATAGCTTACATTTTCAAATTAACAGAAAATTACAAAAATCTAGTTCTGTCCAGCTGTCGAAGCACGCTGCATGTCAGCTGGACAAAGTCCAAAGTTTCAGCTGCAAAGAAAACGCGTAAGTGGTATTTTCGTACAACTATACGACCGGAAGCAGCTTCTTAAGCATCCATGTTTTGGATCTGATTTAGCGTAAAAAAGCTTACGTAACAAGATCGTCGATAAGCGTTAGTAAACGTATATTGATACATTTCATTATGTTTTATTATTTCGATGGCGATTACAGCATAACGTGTCTAGTTACAAAGATTTTGAACACAATCTAGTAATTATGAATGTCATTCATTTTTTTTTAAATATACATAAAAATAATATTATTTATTGTCGATATTTAGCAATTTTGATTAACTTGGACACATACGATGCATACTATAAATCTTCTTCCTCTCGTATATTAAGGATAAAGAAGTGCTCATAAATTCGAAACGTTTTAACGCATTATACAGCAAACCAGTCCGTTCAACGTCATAACAATATCATGCTAATACAGTCCAATGTTGTAAAAAGTTATTTCATTTTGAAAGACTGTTAAATACTTTCGTGAGCCACTAAATGCTGGTCTGTCAAGATACAACATTTTTATCAACACACTTTTATACTAAATTCTATTAAAATGGAACTATCATTTTCAATTTTATGTAATTTATATTTGATTATATTTATATTTTATATTTATATATTATTATTATATATTATTATATATTATTATTATTATATATTTATATATTATATTTATATTTGATTTGATTTTATACTCGCTGCTTCCATGAATTAATATGTTCGAGTCGCTGGTAGGTTTTCTTTGTTTAATATTTCTATTTATTATCGAAGTTTTATTCAAGGAGAGCATTTAACTGAAAACCAAGTAACTAGTAATTTTTCAGATAAAATTATGAAGATGTATATTTTTATAGCATTTTTTACGCTGAATTGAGTTATGTAGAAATTAATCGATGTTAAAATTAAAACAACTCGAACAAAAATGAAGTTTCCAAGTTGAAATATTTACTGTGGTTTGGGTACATGATATTAAAGAAAATTGTGCATGGATTTTTCGATCCGATAATTTCTTCACAAAAAAAAATAATTAAAAAAAAATAAAAAACCATAAGTTGAGAAATTAATTTCTACATAATTCGATTCAACGTAGAAAAAATGCTATAAAAGTATATATTATCAAAATTTTGTCTGAGAAATTACTAAGCTCGTTTTTCAACTAAATGCCCTCCCTGAACGACACCACTAAAATGAATCACACCGATTCGTTCGTTTTCAATACGGCGTCGACGAATACAAAAATACAGTTTCGCCTCGGAACAGTGTGCGCCGGCCGTAATCCCTGAGACGTCGAGATTTACGAGCGGGTACCCGGTGCTTTCGTTAATTGCGAAGGTAGTTGTAATAGTGCACGGTCAAACACCTGCGAGGTGGACCATTCGGAGGCCTCGGCCTCGTCTCGGCGACCGATAGGCCGGGGAAGCGATAAAAGTCTGCGGCCTCCAGGTTGCCGTGGTTTCTCGGCCTCGAGACTTCGAGACACGTCTCTACCGCTTGTCACGGACTACCAAACGGTCACGTTTCCTCGATTAAGCCGGCAAAGGATGGCAGCGGCCGAGCCAGCTCTGAATGCACGTTAACTTCCGGCACGAGCTTGTCTTCCCCGAAACGGATTATAAACGTAACAAAGGGCTATCTGTCCACCGGACGAACGAAGAATAATTTTCAAATTAGTCTCGCCTGCCTATTCTCGAAAAGATGGTGCTATTAGTTTTCGAAAAGTTTTTCCTCAAGGTAGGATTTCCTGTAAACGCCGAACGTAAACGGCTGAACGTATGCGTTCACCGCTTGCGACCCGACACAATGTCCGCATACAGATGATATTTTCTATTAGCGTCAGATGCGTGCGACCAAACGCATGCTTCGCATACGATTTATGTACGCTTATTCGGCATATTACCGTCTGTCGGATAGAACAGTGCGTGTAGGGAAGGTGAAGTGACTTTTTGTATGAAGAAGGCCACGAAAATATTCTGTTGAGAATTTTGACAAAAGAAGGAAGAAAAAATGATGAAGATAATGAGGAGAGTTATCGTAGCACTTTAATAACGAAACAATCACCGATTAACGAGGAGGCATGTAGGCAGTGCTTCAAATCGAATAATGACCGAGTATATTTTATCTGAACTCTTATTGGCAATAATTCTTTGGACATTTTTATATGTAGACGTTGAAATCAATCACAACGCGTTTGCGTCCAAGCTGATTACGAAGTAGAGAATCATCGGACGCGGACACAGTACTTGAGAATCGGCTTGTAGGAGACCAAAAGAATTATTTTCCGTTAAAATCAGTATAAATGTGTCGGACGCGTATAGAAAATCCCGCCTTTATGGAAGAGTGTCTTTCCATTAGCTGGTCTACAGCCAATCATCCTAGATCAATCATCCTAGACAAAACTGTCTTTCTAACGGTGTGCAGCGTGCAGGACGGTTATCTGCTCCCGATAGACGCGGAAGTTCTTAGGCGGTCGACAGCTCCATTTCCGGCGATAGGAGCCCTTTATCGGCCGTTCCGGAAGTCGTTCCGATTAAAAATGCTTTTCTTTTGAGAGCGTCCGGTAACAGCGAGCACGTGCGCCTTCACGGGTCGTGTGTACCTTCTAAATACAGCCGTTTGTTCCTCGGCTCGGCTATTCGGCGCTTTAACCCTTAGTCGTTCAACTTCTTCGTCTTAACTCTAAGCAGAGTAAAGTGTAGTAACGATTTGAAATCAAACCGGTTGTTTTAGAATCATATAAAAATCGCTAAAATAGTTTTCACATTAGGTTGAACCAAACCAGTTAATGTGACTGGTTTCTGACTTTTCTTTCACAATTCCTGATACTATAAAAATATTTAAATAAGCTGTTTTATTCAAGCATATATATATGACAATATACATACATTTGAAGTGTTTAGGTCACGGTAGTTACAGCGATGATTATGTTTATTAAAAACTTCGACGTACACATTATAAACGAAGATAGTGTAACATAATATTTAATTCTTTAAATGTTTCGCTCGTACCATATGGAGAGTCAGTTGTTTAATTTGTGATTTTTATTAAAAGTTTGATGTGTTGTATATAATTTATAAATTCATATAATTCATAATATGAATTATATACATATATTATATATTTATAATATGATTATGATTATAAATACAAGTAGTATAATCTGAATTGCATTCATATAATTGGATGAAATATAACATTATAAGTACTAGTAATACTATCTCATTTTAATCAGCACTGGATCAGCTCTTCTTTGAAATTGATCATTTTTTTGCGTTGAGATAGTGCCATCTTGCGATCTACATATAGGTTGTAACCTTGACTGATCTTTATTTATAGGTCATCGTCTTGAAAGGCTTTATTAGGATGTGAATGAAAAATTAGGTCCTCTACGCCTCAACCTGTACAAAAATTATTGACATATTTTATGTGTTCCTCGAAATCAAACAACTTTTGTCTGACATTTCTTTTTCTATTGTTAAAAATAAGCGAGTTATTCTGGTGTCTTGTTTCAAATGCGCCACCCGGTACATATTATGTACAGAGTATACATAATATACCCTGTATATTATTTCAAATGATCTCAGAAACTCCTCATTTTCTGGAAATACCATAATTTTTGAACACCCTGTATATATACATATACAGGGTGGGGTATTTGAAACGAGACACCTGAATAACTCTCTTATTTTTGACAGTGAAAAAAAAAGTGTCAGACAAAAGCTGTTTGATTTCGAGGAAAGAAAAGCAGTGACTAATGAAAAACAGTGACCAATGAGAGGTGAAGCTCACTTCCGCTCATTAACTCGGCCACATCGCGCTGGCCGAGCTCACCTCTTATTGGTCATTGTTTTTCGTTAATAACTCGTAAACAAAGCCGCGGATTGTATTATTGTTAAGGAAAAATTTACTTCAAATGATCTCAGGAACCTCTCATTTCCCGCAAGTACCATAATTTTGGGATACCCTGTATTATATACATATCCGAATGGAGCCAAATTTAGTCATATGTAGACAGTTACATCAATTTCAAGAGATACGTGCCGGATACACATTGAATTCTTTCTTTAACAATTTTAGCAGATTGGAAATAGTGTTTGCAAAAGGTGTTTTTGTCATAAATTCGTTCGAATCGAATGCTTTTAGGATTTCCAAATTGCAACAGAATTGAAGTAGCAGCGATTCTGAGGATTTCAATTTCTCAGTTTCAGTTTGAATGACTGAATCGTCTCGAATTTGTGGAATTTTAGGGAAAAACAGAACGTCTCAGTTTGCGTATATCGCTGCCCGAACGTCCACGGATGTTACAGTGAATGGAACACCGTCTGTTGGCTACCGTCGTCATTGTCAACTGTCGCAATCCACTTCGAGCCTGTACTGTGCTCGATGTTTCGAGGTCCGCCCATTCTGTAGCTTACCCGGACAAAGATGCAGCTGCGGTGGCCATAATGGCCGGACTCGCATAATCGTATCTATGTACATACCTCTCTTTGATCTTCGCGTTGATCGGATTCCCGAAATCTCCTATAAAGCGCCGTTCTTCGCCGAGTTTTAGTGACGTACAGAACCGACAAAGAACGGTCCGACAATGGGTTCGGTTTGTTTGGTAGCCACGGCATTAATTCTGCTCACCTACAAATAAACATTCGTCCGGAGTTGCTTCGAAATCGAATACGGTAGAACTTTGATGATCGATTTTCGCTGTCCATAAGATTAATTGTCGTAGTTAATTGTTAAGAGATGCTTGTTAACACGTTGAATTTTCTTTTATGTGATACATATAATGTTGAAATATTATCTGCAATAGATAAGTTACTATTATTGACATTTGTTTTAAATTATATTTATATATTTCTACCAATTTAGGCGCGCCGGTCACCGGTGGCCCCCATCATGGCGTCACCGCCAAGTTAAGTGCCGGTCACCGGTGACCCTCGTGGCATTCAACGTGTTAAAGAAGTATGCTCCAGAAACATTTGAAACGAAAAACGATTTAAAAATCTGCGTAAATTTTTAAAAATGACAATAAAAGAAAAATCTGTATTATGAAGTGGGCCGCGGATTTTATATCGTTACGGCAAAAACGAACAGGCGTAATTTAGAGCTGTGGACGAATTAAAACAAACGAAGTATGCATATTAATTCGTTATTATCAACTCATTTATTTGGCACGGAGATCCGCGGTCTAATTATAAGAATAACCAAAATGTGGTTAGCCTTATCATATTGACGCAGCTGAAAATACGTGTTTTCACGTTTAATAATACTACGGTTGTAATTTTGAGTGATTATGCAGAACAAGGCACACCTCATCGGTTTCAAGTATTTTTTAACATAATATATATATTATGTTATATTATATTTATTATATGTATTATATAATATAATATTATATTTATTATATTATATGTTATATTATATTATATATAATATATTAATAATATAAGTAACACACACACATTCTAAACGTTCTAAACAACTTTTTCTTATAAATGCAATCCCAATTCTGATATCTACAAATTGTAGTTCGCATATAAACAAAATTCTTTTCTATAGGTCTATGTGCATACAAATCGTTTCACACATATAGCATAGTCTCTTGCAACTTTGCTGTAGGGTATGAAATTGAAACCAAGTGAGATTGTGGTTCTTATAATAGAGGCACGATTATGAGTTCACAGAACCGACGACAAACATTGAGTACGCCGCGGACAATGGTTTTGTTGGAATTTCGGGTTCAATCGCCACGTTCCACACGCACGCGCGCGCACACTGCTACAGTGACATACATTAGAATCGATCAAAAAGTATCGCCGTGGAGTCTGCATTGCGCAAAATGCACCTGCGTTCGGAGACTTGTCCAAAAAAAACACGCATCGCGAGAGAACACGAGACATTTGCCCGCGCTTGTCCACTTTTGTCTCGAGCTAATAGGTGCGTGTTCGATATTACTTGATATTCCGTATGCGTTCAAGGCGTTCAAGGCACTCAAGGCAATGATTCGAATTCGTGAAACACGGTTTAATACAGTTTCCTTCAGCTGCTTGAGAATACTTGTGCTCGGCCGAGATATTTAAAATCGCATCGAGTCGCGCAATTGCTGATTTTGTAAGAGCTCTGCGATCGAGGAAACTATGCGTACGGTAATTATCTCTGCGAAGAATAGCGCGGCTGTTCGCCGAACAAACGCTTTATTGATAAACCTGAACTTCCGTCAACGCGTCACCAGCTGAGATCATCGACTGCATACCGTTGCACCGAAAAGGTTCAAGGAGCTGTGCGCTTCGGGTACGCAACTGATACAAGCTCCATGTTCCGGGAACGATTATTGTTTGAACGCTTCTCACAGATAACGATTGTAGCGTGATCATCTTGCGAAAGAACTCGGCTGGAAGGTCGCTTGTGAAACGGATACTGTGGTCTGCCGTCAAATTCGATCCTGACGTAACAATTTTTGAATTTTTTGACTCGAAAATCTCTGCAGACGTTTCCTAAACTCGGCTTTCAGTGCATCTTTGTAATCTACGTAACTTCTGCAGACATGTGATCAGCTTCAAATACATGTACGTTACGACACTTGCGTCTTTATGGCTACGGTGAGAATATGGAATACAAAACAGGAATACCGTCAGAATGTTTTAATTATATTATTATTTATTATAATATTAAAACCAGAGTACATAATTCTGTAGTTTAGTGATTTTGCTCTAAATGCATTTATTTTATTTTAGTTTTTTTTTCAAAAAAGGCTGTTTTTTAACATTAAAAAGAAATATAGATCGGGGAGCTTGAGAAAGTAATGTGTTTTTGCTATTTTTTTTAAACAAAGGAATATAAAAATTATAAAAACTACGGAAAGCGTGGACCAATCCCGATGATTTTTGAGTATGTTATAAAGGATGAGATTCTGAAGAACTTTTACTTAAGGAATAATTGTCGCTTGGTCTTTGTTTCGGAGATATTTGCATAAAACGAGTGCTAAACAATGATCCATTGTTGTTTGGCAATTGTTTCCAAGCCTCCGCACAGCCAGATTACCTTAATGTTGTTAGTCAATACCAACTCCTGGCAAAGTGTCGAGTTAAAAAACTAGCCCTAACTCAAACCTAATCGCAGCATTGAGTTTTAATTAATAGGTTTGATAACTCAAACCTATTAGATTCGTATATCATTGAAATTAGTTAAATTAATCATTTTTTGTACCCGTCATATGTATACCCATACTTAACTGGCGGTTTATCCACAGAAATACTAGACGAGCGGCGCAACGTGCTTGCGACACACGTACAGGCGGAGTCACTGTGGTAGTATCAACTATTTCTGCAAATATTTCGAAAACTATGGCCGAACGGCAATTATTGTTCAAATAAAAGTTATTCAGAATCTCGTCCTCTATGACATACTCAAAAATCATCAGGATTGGTCCACGCATTGGGTTGTTTTTATAATTTTTATGTTTCTTTGTTAAAAAGATAGCAAAAGCACATTACTTTTTCAATCTTCCCCTACCTATATTTCTTTTTGATGTTAAAGTATAGCTTTTCTGAAAAAACTGCAAAAAAGAAGCACATTTAGGTCAAAGTCACTAAACTACAGATATAACCAAAAACAGAATTCGGGAAATATTTCTTTCATCGATTAAAACATTTATTGGAAAAATGAAACACAAACGCTAGTAGTTTTTGGTAGTCCGTGCATGCGATAAGTGCAGGAAAATGTATTAATAATACTGACACATATTATGATTATCTTACTAAAATGATTGAAACAGGAATCAACTTTTCACTTAACCCCTTGTACTACGATTTTTTTCATAGCTACGTTGATTAGCACTTTATCGACCTCAATAGTTACTAAGGAGATATTTATAGTTATTAACTAATAGAATAAGACAATTTTTCCTTGGTGTATATCTTCATTTTCTTTCATTCCTAGACTTCGATAACAAAAGAATGACATTTTCGATGTAGAAAAAACGAATAAAATTCATATTCAGTAGATTATTCATGAAATCTTCGTCACGAGTTTGTCTGGTTGTTACAGTGCAAGGAGTTACTTTCTATATCTTACAATCGACGCAGAAACTTTCTATTTTGTATAAAGATCCACGGTCTATTTATACAAATTTATTTTTAATATGAAAATAAATGATATAAATTAAAATCATAATAACATCTTTACACACAGTAAACGTTTATTAAACGTTATAAAATTCTACAAAATTTTACATCAAGTATATAAGTTTAACGTATTTTGTGACAGGAAGCGCGCTACAAAATGCAGTTGCACCAAAGAAACTGAACAAACATGAGATTATCAATTATTTCACGACGCAGTTGCCACGGCCAGCGTACAGGAAACTCTGCTGGGAGAAAATCGAGCCTTTCATCTAGATTTTTCATTTCTTTGAAAGTCGACAGATCTGGGATTCTTGTTTCACGCGGACGCGTTTCAGCGTTTCCACCGTTTCTATCCGGACGCGCGCGAAGCGGATACGAGCGTTGTATTCGTGACACGAATGTGGTACGAATTCGCGTATCCGGAATGGACAGCGATCCGCAAAATGCACCGTCGGACAGCCTACGCATCCTGCAGCAACGTGGAGGAATACCGGTCTAAAGTCCGGGACATGGAACCGACGAAAAATTCTGGAACCGGTTCGCCAGCATTTTCGCTCATGCCCCGGCTGAAGCCGAGAAAGGATAAATAGTCGAAGGGAGAAGCCGGGAGGAAAAGGAAGAGGATACAGGAACGAGCACACACCGGTCGTTTCTGTGGCAAGGGGAACAAGATACCGCCGGGCCCATCCAGCTTTTTATTCGGGAAGAATTGGACGCCGTGCGCCACATCGATTGCGACGATACCTTTCTCTAAACAGCACTTTCGAACTTTCTGTCGATTGTGTCGACTTGCTTGCTGCACGTCCTGAAATTGTTCGAGTTTCGTTGAATCGTGCGCAATTTTGTAATCAGTAGAGCAAATGACGATGACAATAAATCTACCGAGCACTAAATATATCTGACACGTGTTACTTTAGAAGAATTACAAAACTGGATTTATTTAGACAATTTGCTGTTTTTATTAAATTAAGAAATTTTTGTACATCATTTTCTAGGAAATGTTGTATATACTTTCGATAATTTTGAGCTAGAAATTGTGACAATTGTGCTGGTTGAATCGTTTTAACCAGCTCGGTTGGTTCAGTGATATCTCCCTTCCCTAGTTTAGTATTTCTTTGGGAAATCATTACGTATACTGATTTGTAACTATAATATTACAGGTACAGTAATACAGTAATACTAAATTACAAGTTCAGTAATATTACAGTATTATAAAGTAATGATAAAGTAATAAGGCGATTTAAAATGAAACGTGAGTGTTCATTGAGCGTATTATATGTTATAAACATTTAGGGAACGTTTACAGAAAGAAAAATCATTATTTGACAACGTTGTCCAAAACTTCTCTAATTACTGAACAACAGTAATTAGAGAATGCATTTGTGACATGCGCAGATTTCATAAATATCAGAAATCGTACAAATTAACGAAATCTAATAGCATTTTTATTTTATTTTTACAATGAGTAATCTTTTAGTTGTCGGAGGATACTTTTCCTGGATTCTAATTTTTGTAAAATGCTGTATGAAAATGAGAATTTGCATAAAAATCCGCAGTCTAGTAACTGGGAATTTTGCTTAACTGATTACTAAACTGCGGATTTTCAAACACAAAATAAAGTTCGTGCATCATTTGCAAGAAATTTTCAAAAAAGTGAAATTACTCGTTGGTTATTAAATTTAGGACTAATGGGGATCGATACTTTTTTACTCAAAATTCGACATTCTATATTTATATTTTATTTATATTTTATATCTAATTCGACGTTCTTCATATTTTGGCGTAAAAAATATAGCACTCCATTTCGAAAAACAAAGTTGACCTTCAAATTTCCGAAACGCCTCCACCTAGATAAAAAAATAAATACACTACATAACGTATGCCTATAAACCATGTAACTTCTTGCATGCAATTTTTTGTGTGCAACAAAACTTTTTCGTGCAACGCGTACCTTGGAAGTTACGGAGGTGTGCATGTAGCGTGAAACATCCTGTATATCTGAACCGTGGAATAATATCTATCGTATATTTTGAGATATTTAACTCTTTGCACTCGACTGGTGACTCCGACTCACCGCTTAAATTGTTGTATAACATTTCAAAATAATTTTAACGTTATCAAATTTGTTTATATCTTAAAAACTGTCAAAAGCGCACGAGTTATAAAATTCAATTTCACATATATAAAATGCGCTTAAGTTGTACAAAATGGAAATACTGTGAGTTAGAAAAACTATTTTGAATTCAGAGTTAAAATGGCTTCGAGTGCAAAGGGTTAACGTGTTAGAACCGTCACCGGTCTATCCGACAATTTTAAACTTCATCTACTTACTTTGCCACAAATGCACGAATTCCGCGACCCTTCCCGAAAACGGGAAGATGTTATTAGATAACAAAAGCAGATGTGAGAACATTGCCAACTATCGAAAGTATCATGAACGGAGAACGATGCGAGCCACTGGGGACGAAGATGCTAGCGAAGAAGCACTGTAAGGGATACACGGATCCTCCCACGCGTGAGTGACGCTTACAAACGACGGAAAGGCGGTGCCGAGATAAGAACGCGAGATACAAACTCGCCTGTGTGCAACGGATGATCCTTCGATGCATTATCGATCCCGGAACCGTAGCACTCGCGCGATCTATTCGACCGATCCATGACTTTTCAAGCGTACACGCGGTGAAATTTACCTTTGCGTTTACAGTACAGTGGTCCTTATTTTCCGACTTTCTATTTTTGCTAGTTCTACCCCCTCAAATTGTAACACTGGGCGAGAAAACGATGTGCGCAAAATTTGGAAGCAATCGGACACCGGTAACCCGTGTCGCATTTGCGTCAAAGTTTACAAACGTTAATGATTTCATTTCGTTATCAAACATAATTCTATTTCGTTAATTTAAAAATATTGTTAGACGATTTTGGCTGTAACATTTTGTGTTACTTCGAAAAATATGTATAAAAGCTTTAAATCTGTTTCTTACAATTAAATACAAATCACATCGATTTTGGTGAAATTTTTTTGGGAGAGAGTTCTCGGAAAAATATTTCACTTTTATATTTGTCACACGGTATCATCCGCGATGAAAGCATGAGAACATCCCTTAAACGTACTTTT